GGCCACTGCACTCCAGTCTGGGCGACAGAGTGAGACTACAACTCAAAAAAAAAAAGAAAAGAATAAAATATAGACTCCGATATGTAATAGAAAAAGTAAGTATATTTTAATATATGTTTATTTTGAATGTACATTTAAAATATACTTAAGTTTTTCAGATACTTATGAATAGTCTTCTTTGATGTTATACCAAATTTGACAGGTTAGGCAATTTCCTAGTGGTCAGTTGCAATATAGAATCCAAAAGCCTTTCAATGACCCTTGAAAGGCTTGTTAATTAAAATCCATTGGTTTATCTTGCACTTTGAATGGATATTTTACCTATCAGTGATTTTGTGACATCATTCCAAGTTTGTCAGTCATTCCTTCAAATGAAAATGGTGGGCCATAAAAAGGTGTTTTTTTTTTTTTTTTTTAATTGAGTTGGAGTCTCACTCTGTCGCCCAGACTGGAGTACAGTGGCCGCTCCCGGCCACCGCAGCCTCGACCTGCTGGGCTCCGGTGATCCTTCCGCCTCAGCTTTCCAAGTAGCTGGAATTACAGGCATGCGCTACCATGCCCGGCTGATTTTTGATTTATTGTAGAGATGAGGTCTCGCTGCCCAGGCGGGTCTCAAACCCGCGGGCTCAGGCAATCCACTCACCTCAGCCTCCCAAAGGCGCGGGATTACAGGCTGAGCTACCGAGCCCAGCTTAAAAGGGTGTTTAATTTTGCTTGCAACTTAGACAATAATACAAGGTTTTTCCTTGAGAAAGCCATCATACTTCAGCATGAAGAAGTGCTTTATGCACAGCCCCATTTTGTTATATAGTATATTAAAATGATAAATATTCAAGAGTTGAGATTTAACAAAATTAATGATGTTTACTGTTTCATGAAGGACAGTAAGTAAAACTGGCTTTAGCAAGTACATAATGGTGAAAAATACAATGATTATTAGTACAGTTTGGCTTACTGCCTTCATTCATACTAAGGAAGTTTTATCCATCATTACTTTTGCACTGATCAACAAAGTGAAAGGCAAATGTTATCTTAATATTATTATAAAACCAGTTTTGACCCACTGAAGGGTCTTGAGGTCATGCATGGGTTCATGGGCCACACTTTGAGAACCACTGCCTTAAAAGATGAGCAGACTTCAACAGAAGTGGTAAGATAAGTCATTTACTTAACATTTGGAATATATGAGCTCATAAGAGCAATATTATATAGGACAGTTTGTTTTCCCAGGACAAGCTTTTAAAAGCCTAGTTCATTTAAAATGTAGCTGACCCACAGAATCTAAAGATTTTTTTTTTTTTCAGTTGGAGTATCACTCTGTCTGCCCAGGCTGGAAGGCAGTGGTATGCTCACGGCCACTGCAGCCTCGACCTGCTGGGTTCGGACGATCCTTCCGCCTCAGCCTTTCAAGTAGCTGGAACTACAGGTGAATGCCACCACGCCCGGCTAATTTTTTGATTTCTTGTAGAGACAAGGTCTCACCAAGTTGCCCAGTCTGGTCTCAAACCCCTGGACTCAGGCAATCTTCTCGCCTCAGCCTCCCAAAGTGCTGGGATTACAGGCTTGAGCCACCGTGCCTGGTCTAAATCAGAAGATTTTTAATGACAATTCCTTCAAAGGATTCAGGTAGGAAAATTAATATGATAGGCTTTTCAAATTGAACTATTTAACTTAAAAATCAGAAAGCTGGGTGCGGTGGCTCACATCTTGTAATTCCAGCACTTTGAGAGGTGAAGGTGAGGGGATTGCTTGAGCCCAGGGTTTGAGACCAGTCCAGGTAACTTGGAGAGACCTTGTCCTTACAATAAATCAAAAAGTTAGCTGGGTATGGTGGTGCAAGTCTGTTGCTCCAGCTACTTGGAAGGCTGAGGTGGAAGGATCACTTGGACCCAGCAGGTGGAGGCTGCAGTAGCCATGAGTGTGCCACTGCACTCCAGCCTGGTCGACAAGAGTGAGACTCCAACTGAAAAAAAAAAAAAAAATTAGCTGGTTGTGGTGGTGCGTATAGTCCCAGCTACTAGGGAGGTCAAGACAGGAGGATCCCTTGAGTCCAGGAATTTGAGACTGCAGTAAACTATGATTGTGCACTCCACTTTGGGTGACAGAGCAAGACCCTGTTTCTAATATATATATAAAATAAAATGATTATAGAATTTGAGGTAGCAGGGACAAAAATTAAGACAAAAATACCTGAACTTTGGGGAACATATGTATACACTACTATTCAGGAAGCCATGGTGTTAATTATAAATTTTCAGCCTAAACAAAAATATGTAGGTGTTAAAAGTACTAGGTAAGTAGAATATACTAGGCCTTATGTTTTATTAGTGTAGGGCAAGGCGTTTAAAATACAGTAGTGTTAAAAAAACAAGGTAGGAAAGTCTGGAGAATTTTCACCAAAATGTTAACAGTGGCTATCTCCGGATGGTAGTATTCCTATGGATTTTTCCTTTTATTCATCTATTTCCTAACTTTTCTAGAAGAAACAGTATTATCCATGTTTGTATTACATTAATTTGTATTTATATTATACAATTTGTATTTGTATCTGTATTAATTTGTATTTGTATTATACACAGATTAAAATGATGTAAGCATCAACCATAAAAAAAT